AACGCAAACGTAATTCTAAACCCCACGCACCGACGCACGAACGTAATTTGCGCCCGGGCACCCGAGAAAAAAAAAAAAAAAAAAAGCGTAAAAAGAAAAAAAAAAAAAACTTATTTTCATAGTTATAACTTAAATACCAAATCCGATTTTTCTATACGTATTCTATTATGTGTGATGTATTCATTATGCATAAGACTTTATTTTATTTTACAGAGAATTCACCACATGGCGAAGTTTTGATGTATGGGATCTGTAGAAATTAAAAAATATTTTTTTTTATACTTGCCTGTTTACCAATAGTATTACAACATTAGTTAGCGTGTGATCGGCAAGCCAGTAATTCGTGACATCAATAAATCCAGTTCTTGTGATCGATTCAGCGTTTGTCATAAAAAATTCGCTAGAAAACTTTTCTTTTCAAATGTAAAAACATTTGATGGAGTCTTTTATAGAAACTTTGAAGTTGTGCCTTGAATATTTTTGGTGTGGCTTTAAAGACGCTTTTGCTTGGCCTTCTGGCTTGATCACTATTTATGGGTAAATCGATTTACTTACTCGCTTATTCTATTATAAAATAAACGTTCTTTTCTAAATCTACGTTCTTCATTAATAAACAGATCGCAAACCATTAAAAACCGTACCATTAAATGTTTTGTCCTTAATGGCGTGATCTTTTTAGGAAGCATATTTTTTTTCAACCACGTTACTTTACCTACTTTACATTTTTTCCTTGGAAAATCTTTTATTGCTCTAAATCACAGAGGTGAAATCGCTGTTGGAGAACCTTCTGACGTCAAATATTCTCCTTTAATTACTAGTATTTTGGATACCATAGTGGCTTTAACTTATCAAGTACTACTATAAATTTAAAAGAATTTTATATACTTTATTAGATTTTTCAATTTTTAAACTTTCCCTTTTTAGCTATTATGGGTCTATCCGATATTTGTACTAAGTTTCGTACTGAATGCTATATGGTATCAAGAAATAGCTGATCGAGCTTATAGAATGTATCATGGTCGTCCACCTATAAATTCTCATCGAACATATCCTAGGTTAGTTTTTTTTTTTATGTATTAAATTTATAAATTTGACGCTTTTTTTAAATATATGCTTTTTTTCTTTTTTTTTTTTTTTTTACAGGGCATTAAGAGTTATGGCAGATGAGATTTATCGTGCATTATTATTCATGAATTATTTGATGGTGGCAACTATAGTGTATGTCATACCTGTTATCGGTCCAATTATATCATTCATGTATTTTTGTTGGATATATGCTTATTATAGTTTTGAGTAAGTGTATGTTATTTTCTTTGATTATTATGAATCTTGATCTATATTTACTTTATATTTTTATTTTAATAGGTACAAATGGATTAATCAAGGTTGGTCTTTAGAACAACGTATAGGATATTTTGAAGAGAGGTGGTCTTATTTCGCCGGATTTGGTAATACTTTCTCATTGTTAGTGTGTATGTTTAGATTACCAGAAAATCTTCATTAACATTATTTTCTTCAGGTTTTATGTTTACCGTGATAACGTTCTTTGTTGATCAATTTTTAAGTGCTGGTGTGTTCGCACTTCTCTTTCCTCTTGTAAGTATATTACTTTACTCTTCTTTAAATTTCGAAGCAACAATTGATAAATTTCCTTTCTATTTTTTATCTACGATGTATGAAGTATATAATTATGGCTAACAATGCTCTTCCTATGCCGAGACACAACGAAAATGCTCGTTTTTCATCATTAGTACCGTATCGATTGCGAGTATTTTGGGTAGCGGAGAAATTAAATAATAAGATAATCGGTAGTCTCAGGAGCGTCTGTCTTTCAATAAGATAAAATCACGAGAGAAAAAAAAAAAATACAATGATAATCCACAAATAGAAGAACATTAATATTGTATAACTCGGATAATAATAGTTGATTATTACCCAGTATCAATAGAACATTATAACATTATATACTGTAAAAAGCGCATGGTGGTTACTGTGTTGAGTTTTTTTTTTTTAATTCCTAATTTTAAAAGGTGCATCGGTAAAATTCAAAACTACGATAGGGAACATGATAAATAAGGACGAGGATAGCGACTAGAGGTAATACATGACTAATGTGGCGTTATAATAACGCAACATGACTTAATAGTTATAAAGCATTACATTAATAATAATAAAAAAAAGGAACATTACTACAATTATCAAAATTTTATTGAATAGTTTAAAAAAAGTTTATTACTATTATTTTCATTATTATTATTACATTATTTATATCAATAGTACAATCCTTTCATACTAAATTTCCACTTTAATAGACATCTTACTGAGTACTGTACTAACACTTCGAATATTTCTACGATGATAGAGTCCAACATCAGTAAAGTTTATCGAATCTAATATACGAAAATTGTCAGGATCAAATATACAACCTTACGTGTATGTCATTAGTCAATTTTGCAAATTGACAAAATTTATCAAGGTAACTATTGATTTTTCATTCATAAAAGTTCTGAATCTCTTGAATCATTGTTTCATCTCTCATTTGTTTTAAAAAAGGAATTAAATTAGTCCCACCAGTACCTTTAATTTCAATGGATTTGGTGGTAGTGATTTTTACTTTCGTATTGGCTTCTTTGTTATTTGTATTAACATTGTTAGTAGCTATTCGAAATACTTCATTCTTTGCTATATCTATTCCTGTTACAAATGAGTAGTTGAATTTTGTAATTATAATAAGCATTGTTAGAGTATCGTTAGTAAAGATTGGTAAATATCGCGGCTGATGTAGAAAATTGAACCTATTTTTAATATGAAATTTTCATTTTTTGAAATGCTTTTTTTTAGTTAGGATTTAAAATATAATAAATAGGTTTAATAGAGACTCCAAATCTCAACATTAGCCGCTATAATAAATATTAGAATTGGTATAATGATCTCACATTACCTTTATTTATTGGTGTATGATACTTGAACTCGCCTTTACTTCGATGTGCTTGTATTATAATATATGCACTAACAATTTGTAAGTGTTTGCTTCGGAAAATTTTCATTTGATTTAAACATTCATTATACGTTCGAACCATTTCGGTGGTTCCCTGAAGCATTCCCATGTCTTCATCAGGTGAAGAGATGGTGATATTAGAATCATAATTCGCCTGTGAAACGATATAACTGCGGATGTTAGCGACCTTTGCAAGATCCTCAAGAAATTTCCTGTGATATCTGGTCATATTTTGGCGAATTTTATATAAATAAGGCTGTTTATTTTCGCCAGACGAACATTGTTGTGGTTTATAATTATTATTATTATATTTGGATTCAAATAGACAGCAACCATTTCCAGAAGTATAATTTTTCATAAAACAGTGCCCATTAATTTGTTGTGATTTAACCCCTGTTGGATAGTGTTCAATATTTAAAGCAATATCCAATGCCTGAATCAATGCGCTCTGACCAGCACTGGCACCTACATATTTACGATAAATAGGATCACCATTTTCATCGTTACCATCTACCCCTTCATATATTAGCCCTTTCGGTAAGCGATCTTCATTTTCCCAACCACTTAAGTAAGGTCGTATCATATGATAAAAGACATATGGGTCACATTTTTCATGCATCCTTTGCAGAGTTGCATTGATGTCAATAATGGTAGAGTTTATGTCTCTCAATGCAATTATCAATTTTTGGTTATTTCCAGTCTTAATAGCACGAATGGCAGACATTATTGCAGTAATGGCCCTTCCACCAAATCCTTCTATGGCAGTAGTAACAAGATAAAACCATGATTCATCGGGGGTATTTGAAAAGGTAAATAATGTAGCAAGATTGCTATATAAAGAAAAAAAGATAATTTAAAGAAATGATATTAGATATTTTTCATGATATTTTTTGAACGAAAAATATAAATGTATTTATATTAATAAATAAATATATTAATGATAAAATGAGTTTGGATATGAACTTTAGACTAAACGGTTCATCTGGAAAGATCAGCCGCCAATTCCATAACACGACAGCAGCGTGGTTTACAATTGGGGAAATGCCTAGGTAATCGGATACCTTGACCCATGGCTTTGCAATACAAGCCGGTAATCTCTATGTTGAAATATGATTTAGAATGAAAAAAAAAAAAGGAAAAAAAAAGAAAAAATCAAAATTACACCAACATCTGAAACTTCGTCAAATTTGCCCCATACATATCCATGTGCTAAGGAAGATAGAACCAAAAATGCGCGATGATATTCTGCTAGAGTTTGGAGAGGACTAGTATCCAAGACCGATAACTAATTTTGTATGTTAATATTGCAGAACGAAAATAATTTAGTCGTACAAAAACACTTTTTATAGGTGTAAAATAGATATTCTTTTGTTATATTGCACAGCTGCAAGTAGAACAAATAACAAAGCAGTCTAAACCATACCTTGTTTATCGAGGATCTCAAACGCCCTGCTAACATTAAATCGTGAAAATTATCGAGTAGTACCTCCCAAGGCTCATAATAGCTGGGTAACCGTTGTAGAGGTGGTGTTGAAGGAAGAAACCCAGTGACTGGGCTTATGTCATAGTCTTCTAGCATAGACTCCATTTGAGCAATTTATTTTATTTTTGAAGATTTTCGTACGCACGAATATTACTGCTACGAACGTTACGAATGCGACGTTAAACAGATTGTGTGATGATAGCGATAATACAGAAGTTGGGTTTTTATTGGTTAGTCGGTAATTTACTTGTGAAACAACAGGCTTCTTGTCATATTTTTCGTTTTATAATCTAATAATACTGTATTATGTACTGGCATTTTCGGAATCATATAAAATCCGTTGAACACGATAGTATAAAAAAAAAATCAGAAAAATCAGGATCAGGCAATATTTTAGATGCAGACCCATATCGTATTGTATCTAATGAAATTCGTGTAACACGATATCTATAAATTAACTTACATAATAAAAATATCGATATTAATAAGCATACTTTTTGTTTTCGGCTCATATTCCGGCAAGTTCAAATGAAGTACGTACAATATATATTATTTAACATTGCTGATCATACATCATATTCTGAGTAAGTCATATTCTGAGTAAAATATTGTCCTTCCCCAAGTAGGGATCGTCTAAAGCCGGAGTTGATTAATAATAAATTTGTAAAGTAAAAGTCACGTGATGCATATAAATTACTACCTGGTAGATATACTAACGTCACGTGAAAGGTCAATTTTATTAGTACTGTATTCGCGCGGGATATACTGTTATTTTGATATACTTATCAGGGGTATCTCTAATTTTCGAGTTTCGCTCTATAGACATTACGTAGTGTGCAAGCATTCTGATTAGCGTTAGTTAAAATTAAAATAGTACAGTGCGACCCAATCTAATTTCTCATATAAAATCCCCCCTTATTTAAAGGTAATAAATAATTATAAATATTAAAACCTATCTCGAAATCATATGAAATTATTAGTATTCGAGCAGGATACACGGTTATTATGAT